ATCATTTTATTTTCAAGTGAAAAATAGTCATAGTTTACTATAATTGGTGATTTATTTATCTTTCATAATATAACATATGGGCATCAACATGATATCAACAATAATAAGTGAGTTACACCATAAAATGAGTACGTATTAAAATAGAACCAAGATGCTCCATGTTCTTTTCCCATGTACTCAAGTCAATCTAAATAACTGCCAATATACAGTATATATCGTATAGCATATCCCTCAGTTTGGTGGGTTTATCTTTTATTTATCTTATCAATGTCAATTATCAAGTCAATTCCTTTCTTATATATTGAAGTCGAGGGAACTAAACGTAGCTGAATCTAATGAGCAAATAGTGTATTTTAATAAGTATATTTTAATAAGGATAAAAGGGGCGACTGGTTGAACTCAAAACCTTTACTATATTCCCTTTCCAGTTTATTATATGAAAGAAAAGTTTAGCACTATATCTACATATATCATGAAGCGATGTAGTCATTACTGGTTTACATATACAAGTATATAATAGTATGTCATTGGAGCCAGCTATTTTTTAGTAGTCTTGATCCTTCACTATCTCATGTGATTGTGTGTGTACCCAATCTATATCTTTTTAATAAAAGAAACAAGTTCAAATATTGAAATCTTACTGATCAGAAACCTATTTTTATATCGTCATCATTAATACTAACCCATATGTGAACCCCTTGATTTTCCTTTTACTGAACGGCTCGAGTTTATTTCTATTGGCTATTCATAGTTGATTACTAAAGTCTATAACCTGAAAAATAGCATACTTTTTCATTAGAGGTAGGTGTTATATAAGCACCAAGTCAAAATCAAGAGTTTTCGTTGCCTATTGAAATAAATGTGGTACTGGAAAGTAGGCCTTTAGACAAAAATAGACCACTTGACAATTTACTATGGTGTCACATCCTCTACTTGGTTTGTTAGGTAGAATAGTTTGATTACTACACTTATTTCACACCCATGATTCTACCTATTTTAGGATGATAATAAGTTCTTCCACTGTTTTTTTTTTCTGGGAGCTGTTGCGAACTTTCCTTCTATGGGATACTTATCAAGTCAGTAATTCTTCCAAGCCCTAATTGTTGATACAAGATAAGCTCTTTCGTTTTATCTCTTAACAGTGAATACGCAGGATCACCCCCGTGGCATTATCCACTATAGAAAGAAAGTAGCGATAACAGTAGGCGAAAGAATCAAGCTAGCAAAAAAAAAAGGAGAGGAGGGAAAGGAAAAAAAAAATGGAAGAAGTGACCAATATCATCAGAACTCTGTTTTTGACCATCAATTAATACTTTAGACTGCTTCGTCAAAAATATTAGATACAGAATGGCGTAAACCTGATCCATCCTTTAAAACAAACAAAAATACAAGTTTTACTTTGTTCATGAAAAACGGAGTTTATTAAATGAAAAAATATATATTTATATATAAAAATAAAATGCAGTAAAAAATATATAAAAGCGAGTGAAGTGGCAATTCAACAGAATGGATTTTTCTCAAACCTGTGCATCCTTCCAGAGCGTAAACCATCGACGTACCTCATCGTCCGAATGGCTACCTTTAATTTGATTTAAAAGGTAACACATCACTTGGATGTTTGAGATCGTCCATGGGTTTACGGGGCTGTGGAGAGAGGGACAATGTGATCAAATGTGACCGACCACGACTTCTGTCTCTTCTTCTTTGCAAAGTGGCATACCCATCCTGTTATTGCACACTTACACTCGCTATCCAAGTAAAGTTGATATATCTCATCTTTGGTGGGTATTCCATTTCTATAATCCGGGTAGTTGCGATCTTTTGATGCTCTCTGCCTATATCTTATTTCCATCCAGTAAGATCGGCTCTCCACCAACCTCTTTTCTTTATCGTTATCGATCTCATTCTCCCACGTCTCGATCGGGAGGTCTCCACTACACAACCAGCGTTTGACATCTTCTGGATTTTCGTTTTTAAGTCTTATTGTGCTATACAATCTATATGTATATATATATATATATATATATATAAGTATGGTTTTTAATTGCTCGTCAGAATTATTTCTCTTATTCTTATAATTGATTTCTTACAAGCCACATCCAACACATATCGGGTATCCGATTTTTTTGCTGAGAGGGGGGTCGTTGGGAGTAAAGAAGTGTGTGCATTCAACACAGCGACCAACTATAGCCTAAATGTAGAAAGGAAAAGGAATGAGCTGTCACTGCTATTATCTAATGGGTTACTTACTCTTGCTGTTACAGTAGCATGGTCTCTTAGAGTCATGCGCTTATATATCCTGTATTGATGATGACGAAGATCATCACCAAGATAATCACGTGTACTTACTGGTGATCTGCTAAATGGGGCAGGCTTGCTGCGGTGGGAAGTACAGACTATAGAGAGACGATCGTATATTAAAATAGAATAATATATGTGAATATACGTTTTCTCCAAAAAAAACAACAACAAAAAACTGCTTACCTGGAGGGACGTATCGCGAAGGCACAGGTAAAACATCATCGTCTTTTGTGAGGTCGATAATAGGAATATTATAATGAGTTGACTGGCTTGATTGAGCAGCACACCGAGTGACTTCTTCGACTTGATCCTCTTCATCTGAGCTAACGAGGTCAATGTACTCTGGTTGCTGTGTTTTTGAAGTGCTTGCAGCTACTGTGTCAGGCTGTGACTCTGGGCTACTTTGCTCTTTACCTTTTTTTTTTTTTTTTTAAAAAAAAAAGAGTCAGTCTTCTATAGCAATAAAGGATATAAAAGTATCTTACTTACAGATGCTTATTAACAAATTGAGTGCTCTTTTCATGTTATAACTATAACGAAATAAAAATAAAAGAGATAAACGAAAACGCGTTTTATTTTTTTATTGATTTTTTTTTGTTCCTGCAATATCGGACCAACCAAAATAGGCAATGTCGTTGGTTTCAGTTCCATAAATACATGATTGAATGGTTTTGCTTATCATTTCAAAGTAAACGAAGAGTATAAATAGTAGCTTACAGAGAAACTGAACTCTTTGGAGCAAGAGAACACGTATTATTAATATTAAGCTATCGAGTGTACATTATAGCATATGCTTTTATAGATATAACACTTGTAGATATTGTCAATCCTGTTAAAGTCATCCCCCGCTTAACAAATCGATTGTCTTTTGGAAGTGATTAGTGTATCTCTATCTTGTAACTTGAAGCAGTTAATTTTATTGAGATACACAAAACAGGGGAACTTTACCTTAATAATTGCAATGAAATTGTCTGTATTAAATTAGTGAGGTTATTCTTGGTAACACATCCATTTTTATTTAACAGGGTTTTTGCATAAGTTTGCAACATGGGTTTATCAGAGTGATTTTCCTTTGACAATACATATACGCAGTCCAATCTCGATATTGAAATAATCTTTTCATATTCCCTTATTTAATTACTATTCATGTATTCCATCGGTAAGCTCTTTACATAATTTTTTAAATATATAAAGAATAGAATAAAAGCTAGAAAGAAGTATTCCAGTTTCGAGTAAACTTGATTGGAGTGTATGATTTCAACATACATTGTTATCCTCCCATCTCAATAAATCTTGGTTCTCACTCTGTTGGATCTCGTCCATCGAATATCTTACACACAGTTTTACCAATTTGCCCACACCAAATGCTAATATATCAGTTAAATCATATGCCAACAACCAATGATTACGAAAACAACAGATTTACTGCAAAATTGGGGGGTTGGCAACTAGCTTTTTTTTTAAAAAAAATTCACCGCTTAGTTTATAGGGAACTAAGAAGGTATTGCTTCCTCAAGAGGGACAAAAAAAAAAAAAAAAAAAAAAGAGCCTAGCAACAGCTCCAGGTCACATACTTGGCCAGAAAAAAAAAATAAGCGAAAATGTAGGAACGTGTTTACCAGAGTACCTTTGCTGATTGCATATATTTCACGAAATTGAATCCACGACAATAATAGAGAATGTCGGCTGGTTTAAAGGCATTTTTCCTCAATAAAATAAACACGAGGATTACTACTATCGATCAAGTTCATTCAACCACAAGAACATATATTAGAACGGAAAAACAGTCATTTTATACCAATTCTATGATGAAATGGAGTCTATTTCAAGATGACTAACTTTTGAACCATTCTCTTTAGATGAAAACAAGCCAATATTTAAAAAAACAAAAGAATGGATAGCTTACGATGAGAGTTGCTAACATTTAAAAATATCAAAAACCAAAATGATGTATGATAAGGAGTGATAAAATGTACAACAACGTGACTTGAGAAAAAAGGCGCAGATGACCTGGATTACGCATAAACTCATCATCATTATTATAATTTTTTTTTTCATTTCTCTCGTTTATTTATCCAAACACATTCAAAAAGTAGATTTACAATGACAGCACATCATGAAGTTACTAGCCAACAACGTTCCAAAAGAATAGAGCTAATTATAGTACCTGGCAAAAGCCTAGGTCCTTTTCGTTTAGGTTCCTCATTATGGGATGTATTGCACTTTTTGTCTGATAAAGCACCCTTTTTCCCTTCTGTTGAATTGAAATATAGCCAACAAGTAAATAATAAACTCTTTTAAGTTATATATATGCTCATGTTGAACTGGCCTTTATTTTTTTTTTTAGGAGCCCTTGTTATATGACTTTATTATCGCCTTACCTTTAAATGGTTTAAACTTGCGATTTGATGGATCACTTCAACGTTTAAAATCTGTAGAATGCTACGATCCATCTAAAGTCAAGCTTGTTTATCAAAGTAGCGATGTGAGGTAAGTTTTTATTTTCGGAATGTGCAAATAGAGTGGAAATGTAATAACACATATAATAAAAAGCTCAAGTCGAACGATACCCACATTCTTACTGATATACAAGTCATTTGGGTAAGCACACACACAGTAAGAGTTTGTGTAACATGGATAGTAATGCCTCAATTATAAAATAGACCCACTTATCCTGGTGAATTTGATCCTAATCAAAGTATTTACACACTGAAATACCCTGTAAGATGAGAGCATGAATGGGATATATTAGAAGAACACCAGTGTTAATGATATATACATTAGGGATTAGCTTTTATGTTTCCTATACCCACAAGACATCAAGATTTATACAAATCATCAACAGGTGAATTGAAACAATAAGGAATATATGTGTGGGAAATGGTGTGCTTACTTAAATATATAAATAGATCTTCCATTAGAATTCCCTGATGGAACAACACCCATTGCCTCAAAGGTAATACTCTATAGTAGCAGTAATAACTGGCAGCAAGCACCAGTGCCTCCCTTGTCAAAGATATTGGCAGAGTATAATGCAAATAATGCCGTTAAATATGGAAAGACAGGTAGACGTGATGCTGAGAGTGTAGTGGCAAAGGTACAGATAGAGAGAGAAAGAGAAAGAGAGAGAGAGAGAGAGAGGATAATAATTAGTAACATATATATTATATATACAATAATAGCCAACCAAAGGCATCACAGTTTATTTTCCTACACAGGATGTGGATACGACATCTGTCGTATCGGTATCGATTGAATTAAATAAAACATCAGCACAAGATATCCTGGCTGACCTCGGTAAACCCTCACGTGTATTCTATAAGGAAGAAGATAAGATGAAAATCCACTCTGTTACTGATCACGGCACTATTGTGGATAAATCCAATCCGATCGAATCAAAGACCACCAATATTGCAGCAGATGATAAAGACAAAGGTAATTCATTTTTTTTTAAAAAAAGTTTTCTCTCCTTGTTTTTGTAACCTTAAAAAAACCTTTACTAGATTCAACTCAAACCCAGCCAACGGATTACTTTTTTAATTACTTTCATTTAGGGTTAGACATTTTAATAGACGGTGGATTACATGTCTGCAAAAAGATAGTTTTGCATGGCAATATTCCAGGACATTTCGACTTTTCAAGGTAATGGGTTAATTGTGCATTTTGATTGGTTGATGTTTAAAATTAAAAATTAGGTACAAGCGATGTCCGTTTCAATTGATATTTCCCCAAGGCAATAGTGAGTTGAATCCTTCAATAGCAAAAAACCTCGGGAAAAAAAAAAAAAGAACTCAATCTTATTATTTTTTAAAAAGATAAAAAAAAACCGGAAAATTCGATACTAGTCGATGTTGACTCTGATGAAAATGAGAATAAAATCACAGCAGATATGAAGGTATTTTTATTTTTTATTGGTGGAAATGGCACTAATTTACCAACCCAAATATTTATTTGTATTAGATATCAGCGATGCAAGAACGTATCCCTTGGGAATCGGCCAATAAAATCAAAGGAAACACACCGAATGAGCAGCAAAAACCTGTAATTTTGACTAGAGGATCAAGCGAACAGAATCCTTTTGGTTCTACTTATTTAACAGGTTACGATCAGGGTGTGGTAATGGAAGTCATGAAGAATGGTTATGTTCCAACAATTGTACTCTTTTAAAAAAGTATATTTATATATATATATGAAGAGAGGTTCCTTTTTTTTTTTAAAAAAAAAAAACTATATATATTCATGTTGTTCTTGATTATTTGTTATTTTATTTCAATTTCTATATTTAAAAATAAAAAGGTTTCTCTTCTATTCTCCTCTCTTTTTTCTCCTTTTTCTTTCTTTTATAAAATGACAGATCTTGATGGATTTGATCCCAAAAATATCGCTTTGGGAATACCACTATTACCCTTTACCAATCAAGTAGGAGGACATGCCTCAATATTTCGATTTTCCAAGAAAGCAATCTGTAAACCTGCATCGATAAAAGAAAGAGAGTTTTATGAATATCTTGAATCTCACCGACCCGCCATTTTACCATTTATATCACAATACCTGGGTGTGTTGAATGTAACCTATCATCATTCAGACAAGACACATGTGCTATTACCTGAAGTCTTGTTTGATCAGAATGAACAGTTACTAAGAGACTGGAAGGCTGTAATAACAAACAAGAGCGTTTATCCGAAAGAAATGGAGGACGAGGAGGAGGATGATCAACAATGGTCCAATATAGATCATTATTCATTAAAATTCAACAATTTTCGAAGGCGAGTTTTGTGTGAAATATTTAATATCCAAGCACTGAAAGAACGAATGCAGGCAGTAAAAGTATGGCAATACAACCAATCAAATACACAGAGGCGCAATACACCACCTACTGAAACACTTGCTAATACACTTGCTAATACTAATGCTACTGAGGACTCGATTATGGATATACATACATCCTTCTCTCCACCGCCTTCCCCATTGCAGGATGATGATGCTCGGGCACGTTGGCAACCAAGACAGCAACCAACCAACCCATGGGGTCAGCAAGTATATGAGCGAGATGTACAAAAGATGATGCAAGCAGATCAGGATCATTTAACCCGTCAATTCATCTTGCTGGAAGATTTGACAGATGATATCAAGTATCCTTGTGTGCTGGATTTGAAGATGGGAACAAGGCAACATGGTGTTTATGCGTCCAAGGCAAAGATGCTCAAACAGACTGAAAAGTGTGCGAAATCAACAAGTAGAGAACTTGGTGTTCGTATTTGTGGTATGCAAGTAAGTAAAAGAGAGAAAAAGAAAAAGAAAAAGAATTTGTTATCATTAAATACTAAAAAAAAAAAAACGCATCTCTTTTTTTTTATATGAAATGTCTTTATAGGTGTATAAAGTCAAGGAGAGGAAATTTGTGTTTCAAGATA